ACCTCAGCTCCACCGGAAAGCCAAGAGGACGCCCAAGAGCACAGTCCCTTGCTCTCCTCAAATAAACCTCTTTGCCCGGTCCCGCCGCCTTGAACCCATTGTCCCCCCTCCTTCTCTCTTGCTCCCCACCATCTTCGCCCTCGACCGGCGCAAACTCCTGTTCACGCGTTTTGCACACGCCCTCCTGTCGACTACCTTAGGACCTTTTGACCTCCACTCTGGCCCTGCTGGCTTCCTCTTTCTCTTCTCTCTCTTTTTTTTTTTGTGATACCCCTGCGACGCGCAAGTGTTCCAGACACCTCCAGCTACATCCGCCATCATGACTGGCTCCAGCTCCAAGTCCAAGTCGCACATTCTTGCGAGGATGCAGGCCAAGGGCCCCTTCTCAGTGCCGAGCCCTGGCGCTGAGAAGGTGGACGGCGAGACGATCCCCCGCCGACACCCCAAGGCCGTGCCTGAGCTTCTCACCAAGCCCGGCGGCAACGTCGACACCATCTACGAGCTTGTCAAGCAGAGCGCCGCCAAGTTCGGCAATGCCCGGTGTATGGGGTCTCGCAAGCTCGTCGACACGCACATCGACACCAAGATGGTCAAGAAGATTGTCGACGGCGAGGAGCGCGAGGTTGAGAAGAAGTGGACCTACTTCGAGCTCAGCCCTTACACCTACATTTCGTACAACGAGTACGAGGCCCTCACCCTCCAGGTCGGCTCTGGTCTGCGGAAGCTCGGTCTCGTCAAGGGCGACCGCGTCCACCTCTTCGCTGCGACGAGCGCCCACTGGCTCGCCATGTCCCATGGCGCCGCCTCCCAGTCCCTGCCCATCGTCACTGCGTACGACACGCTCGGCGAGGAGGGTCTGAGGTACTCCATGATGGCCACCCACGCGAAAGCCATCTTCCTCGACCCCCACCTGCTCCCGACCCTGAACAATGTCCTGCACGAGGCCAAGGATGTTCAGCACATTATCTGGAACAGCCAGAACACGTTGAACGAGGGCCACGTGAGCCAGCTCAAGGCCGCGCACCCTCACGTCAACATTGTGAGCTTTGAGGAGCTTCGCCAGCTCGGCGAGGACAACGTGGCTGAGCCTGTCCCCCCTACCACCGAGGACCTCTGCTGCATCATGTACACCTCCGGCTCCACCGGCACCCCCAAGGGTGTTCCCCTGCTCCACCGCCAGGTCTGCGCTGCCAGTAAGTGCGCCTCCATGCTCTCTCAAGTTGGCATGCTAGCTAACACGATGGTTTTCTAGTTGCCGGCGTTTCTGTGGTCGTAGGCCCTCACATTGGGCCCGGCGACGGTCTCCTGACCTATCTCCCTCTGGCGCATATTCTGGAGTACGTGTTCGAGAACGGTGCCCTCTACTGGGGTGCTGTGCTGGGTTACGGTAACCCCAAGACCCTGTCCGACAACTCTGTTCGCAACTGCTCGGGTGACATCCGCGAGTTCAAGCCCTCTGTCATGGTCGGCGTTCCCGCTGTCTGGGAGACGGTCAAGAAGGGCATCATCAACAAGGTCAACGCTGGAAGCCCGGTCGTCAAGTCTCTCTTCTGGAACTCTCTGTCCCTGAAGGCGAGCCTCCTTGCATCCGGCCTTCCCGGCACCGGTGTTCTCGACTCGGTGGTCTTCAAGAAGCTCAAGGAGGCCACTGGCGGACGCCTGAAGCTCTGCATGTCGGGTGGTGGCCCGATCGCCAAGGAGACCCAGCACTTCATCTCCATGGCCATTGCGCCCATGATTATCGGGTATGGTCTCACCGAGACCACGGCCATGGGCTGCCTGATGAACCCTCTCGAATGGAACACCAACAACATGGGCGCCATGCCTGCGAGCATTGAGATCAAGCTCGTCGACTTTGCCGACGCGGGTTACTTTGCCACCAACAAGCCCAACCCCCAGGGCGAGGTCTGGATCCGCGGCCCCCCGGTGCTCAAGGAGTACTATGACAATCCCAAGGAGACGGCCGAGGCCATCACTCCGGACGGCTGGTTCAAGACGGGCGACATTGGCGAGTTCGACAGCCAGGGCCACCTGAAGCTCATCGACCGCAAGAAGAACCTGGTCAAGACGCTCAACGGCGAGTACATTGCCCTCGAGAAGCTCGAGTCCATCTACCGCGCCTCCTCGGTCGTCCAGAACATTTGCGTCTACGCCGAGCCCACCAAGGCCAAGCCCATCGCCATCATCGTGCCCGCCGAGCCCGCCCTGATCCAGCTGGCCCAGTCCATCGGTGTCCAGGGCAACTCGCTCGAGGAGCTCGTCGGCGACAAGAAGCTCAACGCGGCCGTCCTGCGCGAGCTGCAGAACGCCGGCCGTGCAGGCGGTCTGTCCGGCATCGAGATTGTCGAGGGCGTCGTCATGTCCGACGAGGAGTGGACGCCCCAGAACGTAAGTCTACAGCCCTCCTGCATTTCACCCGCGCACAATCTTTGTTCTCCATGCTTCTTGCAGAGTTCTAACACTGTAATTCAGGGTTATACCACGGCCGCCCAGAAGCTCCAGCGCAAGAAGATCCTCGACAAGTTCAAGTCCCAGGTCGCCCAGGCCTACGGCTCGACGAGCTAGACGAGCTCCGGCGAGCGTGTTCCAATCCCTGGATGCTCGAAAGCGAAAGACAGCTGATTGTGGAGATGGAACAAGAGGAGAGCGGGTGTATGTGAGAGAGAAACATGCCTTCTGGGAGGCCCCTCGCTCTCATTCTCTGAATGACTCTCTCTTTGCATACTCCATTGTATGCTCCCTTCACATCCAAGCTCACGAGGCTGACCACCCAACGATTTCTCCATGCTGCGTAGATTTGTTCTTGCAGCAACACCAACGC